CAGCTAGAGGGGAGAATTAACAATCAGATCTTGGGAGTTAAAGGGTTAACCTTACCAGCATAGTTGCCGAAAAGTCAGTAAGTGTAACACATCAAGTTGCCCAAAAGTCATCTCATCCAAAGTCATGTCTCCCAAAACTAGAGTTTATCTTGATTTAACTCCAAATTCTCCTAACTAAAATATTAGAAAATATATAATGGCTCGAAGGGAGAATAAATAATTAGATAATTTCCTAATAAAGCATCTAAGTATTTAAATCAGAATAGGGGTCTAATAAAAACTTGCTGTATTACTCAAACTTTGAATCTCTATCAACTGATAAGTCAATACAGAATAAAAAAATGTTAATCATTTGATTTAAGTTGTTAATTTCTAACAATTAAACTGTGACTGTGATACTAAGATTTTCTGTTTTATTTGTAATGCAGCTGGTCAAAGGAAGCCAGAAAATGAATAACTCAGATGCATGCTTCAAATAATAACCAACAACTGAAGATGTCTTCACCATCATTGATATCGTTTTGAAAGTTTTCCCTTTGAGATAGTTTAATTTCAAACATTTTTAATGATTGTTTTGTTCTTAACATTACATGTTACAAAAATTTTTAAAGATTTTATGATTGTAACTATCATTTATTATATTCTGAAACTGTTAAATACTGATAACATAAAGTTATTCCTCAATTCAAATTTTACTGGAGAGTTTTAATGCAATTTATTAGAGAAATATTCATTGAAGATGATAATTATGGAAATTGTGCAAATAATGTAGATTCACAAATTATGAAATATATAATTTTAAATTCACTCTACATTGATAAACTTAAAGGTTAGATATTGGCTCTTTGACCCAAATGTTATCATGATAAATTATTGATCAGAGAGCTTTATAACAGTTAAAGTTTGTTCAGTGACATGTTACTTTTTTTTTCAAGAGAACAATTTCATATTCGTGCAAAGTGAAGTGTCTGAGATAAGAAATAAAATGATCTGAAGTGCCTATACTAGACTGTACAAATTAAACTTTCTTAATGACTTGTAACTTGGATTGATGGCCTTCTTAAGAGAAGCCATTTGCTACAATCTCATCAAGCAAGAAACACCTAGCTTGCAATTTGATGCAAATTAGTTGGAAATTCAATAAATGTATGCCTGTTGGATTTACCTAATGTATAATATTTCTGCTTTGAACTCTTCTCTGAACTTCTTTCTTTTCCTTGGTTTTTCTGTTTGTTTCTTTGTTTTGTTCTGGTTGGTTACCTTGGATTTCTTTTCTTTTCTTTCCTTGGATTTTTTTTTTTACCTCCACTAGGTCAACATATTTCTTAAAATGCAATTTGACTTATTCCTCAGGCTACAGAGACAATGTAGACAAGTCTTCTTTCGGCAACAATTATTTTGTATTTCTTGTGCTTAAGCTTTGACAAAAAGGGAAGGGTCTCCAAAGGAAGCATGCAGTTTGCAGGCAAAGTTTAAGTACTCATCTTAGAAGTGCCTCAGGCATTACTGGAATGTTTCATCAGAGAGAAAAATAGTACATGTCAGAGTATCACATGAGCAGAATTTATTTAAGTATAGGATCTCTTTAAATCCCTGTGGAGTGTGGGAAAACAGAGGTGGTTCTTTAAAATCTTAAGGAGTAAGGTCCGTAATGTAGATGCAGTCTCTTTGTCATATTCATATCCTCTCTTCTTGCTGGTTAACACTGTCTCCCCCCCCCCCCCCTCCGTCCTTCCCTTTCTTCATTTCTCTTGATGCTAACACCACTCCAGGGATATAAAAAACCATGATGAAATTTGAAAATTGAAATTTCTCTGTTTTAATCAATCAAACAAATAGATCAAGACAATAAAGCAGAAGAGGCAGAGAAGACTACTGAGGAAGCTGCACCAACTGGTGAAGGTGAAGGTGGCGAGGCTGCTGCAGCTTCTGCAGAGAAAAATGATGAGGCAGCAAAGCCAGAGGGAGAGGAAAAGAAGGAAGGGGAGGGGGAGGAGCCGGCAAAGGAGACAGAGGGGGAGGAAAAGCCTACAGAAGGAGAGACAAAGGAGGGGGAAGGGGAAGTGGAGCAAGCAGGAGAGAAGCAAGAGGGGGAAGTAGCTGAGGATGAAAAAAAAGAGGGAGAAGCAGCGGAAGATGAGAAAAAAGAGGATCAACCTGAAACAGAAGGTGAGTCAAATGGAGGAAAAAATTGATTCATCATCATCATCATCCCTTTATTTGGTAATGCAGGTTACAAATTGGCATGTTTTTTAATGGCTCTCTACAGCTACAACCCTTGTCAAGTTTTGTTGAAACACCCACTCTCAGCAACTTTGCCTTGGGAAAAGTTGAAATATGGCAAGAATCTTAATGAGGATTGTGGTTCACTTCTCATTTTCAAGTCCCTTTTTATATTAATAGAGAAACATTTTTCTGGTCAAGATATCTTATCTTTGCCATCCATGTTTTCTTCAGCAGCAGAGCCAGCACCTGCAAATAAAGGGGATGAAACAACAGATGCAGAACCAGAACCAGCACCAGCTGCTG